ATTTTAAAGTCTAAAGTCCCTGAAAATGAGATCATCATGGTTGTGTGATGCTGTAGCGCAGATTGTTTACATTGATACCGGTCTAGCTAGGGAGTACCAACATGGCGGCCGGTGGCTGTACTTCAACCCTGAACTGCCAACGGGCGATCGGCGATCCAGGGAATGAGATCAGTGCATACAATCTATTTTATAAATGCCAGGTCGTTCTCTAGTCAGATCCGATCTTTTTCCTGTTCAGTAAACGCATCGTTTGGGTCTAGAAACATATCTAACAGAACCAGGATTCTCCAACAGAAGAAATAAAAGTTCTACCATTAGAGTCCATTTGGACTCAGAACTGGTACCGCCAGAGAAGCGCTGGACTCACCAGGGGCTGATCTTCATGAAGGGGATGGGGGCGCAGGTGAAGAAGACCGTGATGAGGAGGAAGGACTTCCTTCCCCAGGTGTCGGACAGAGCACCAATCAGAGGCGCCGACAGGAAGGACAGGAAACCCTGGAAGGACGGGGAAACAGAACCATCAGCTGGTACCGGGTCAGGGCCCAGTCAGAGGCCATCAGGGAGTCCGACTCTCTGAGCTGGTTCTGTTCTGACTGATGCTGAGCCGCAGTGGAGGAGGAGGAGCAGCTGAGGCCCAGAGCGAAGGAAACGTGGAGAACCCAGAATCAGAACCGGTCAGATGTTCTGATTCTGGGAGTTCTGCACATCCTGTAGTGCTGATTCTGAACAGAACCTTCTGTTTGTTTTCCTTTTGCTTTTTAATACGTTTCACCTTTAAGGAAACGTTTCAGAACCACCTGGACCGGGGATCAAAGGCAGAACCGGGTCAGGAACCAGTAATAGCCCCTATGAGGAGCAGAACCATCCGTCATGACAGGAGCCGGACTTCCTGTGTGCAGACGATGGTTCCGCGGGGAGGGGAAACTGTGAGCCGCTTCGGTTCCTCCTGCAAATGGTAACCATGACGACGCTGCTATCTCGGGCTGCAGCACCGAGCCACTTCCTGCTACGTGCCTGCGGGTCGGGTCTCACCTTGACGCCGTGGACCAGGCCATTCATCAGGAAGGTGTGCTGAGGAAACGTCTCCCGCAGAACCTGAAACAGACGGTTCAGGTCCGATTGGCGGAGCTCACGCATCAGAACCCCCCCCCCCCAAAACAAGACAGAACCGGTTCTGCTGAGTCCGTTTACTCACTGCGAGCATGGGCGTGGTCAGTAGGCCCCAGGCGAAGAACTCCAGGAAGATCACCACCACGGCGTGAGTCACTCTGGCTCGGGTCCGACCCAGCTGTGGAGAGCAGAGACACGTACGGGTCAGAACCGGGTCCATCGGTCACATCTGATCACTGAACTATACAGCTAAGCTTTCTGCAGCAGCGACCCGGTTCATTCAGGGTTCTGTTTCTGGTCCGTTTCAGCTGCAGCAGCTTTAAACTGAGAGACCAGCCTGGTTCTGTGGTATCAGAACCTTTTAAAAAAAAGGTTCTGATACCACAGCCAGCTCCCATGTCAGAGGATGAAGAGAGCACATCCAGTTAGTCACAGTCAGAGAAACAGGACTACACTGGAAAACAGGCCAAGCTCCAACATCTAGAAACAAAGGTGTTGATGGCAGCAGCACAGCTGATATTTCTCTCCAGGATGGAGTCACAGCCAAACAGGAACAGACCAGATGAAGCTACTATGAGAAAAAGCAGAGAGAGCAGAACGTTAGAGATTGAACTAACAGATTCTGCAGAGTGGGAGAATAGAGATAGAATGAAGCAGAATGATGAAAAAGGGGTCCCTATGTCCTCCAGCAGTCTAAGCCTATAGCAGCAGAACTATAGAGATAGATCAGGATAACCTGGTGATTATGGATTCAATGTGTCAGAATAACCCGGTCCAGTTAGGCTGGTTTCGGTACCAGGTGTGTGATGATGGGTCACCTCTAAGGTGAGTGTTTAAATAAGGACTAGTACTATATTTGTGAGGACCTTCTCCAACAGGAAAGCAACCCAGACCAGAGCTGGTCTGCTTTAAAGGGTTAATTAAAAACTCTTTCACATAATATAAACTTTATGACCGCTTCTACATCTTTTTCAAATTTCCCACATTCAGAGTTAAAACTTTACTGCAGATAGATTAATAATCCCGCCCAGGTTGGTATATTCAATGTAAAATAACCCATAAAATGTTCATGTTTTGGTGTTTAATGATAAAATAATTATTTCTATTGACTAATATTTATATCTCCTCTGTTGTACACTGGCATTCATGTTTAATCCCTGTCAGTATTGTAGATTTTGAAGCAGATGGATTAAAACTGTTAAAATAATCCTTTAATTAGGAGCTCAACTCCGAACCAGAAGCCAACTTCTGCACCGGAAGGCAGCCCTGGTTCCGCTGTCCTGGGTTAGCCGCTAACAGTGAAACCAGCGGGCGGATAAACAACCAGAAGAGTTTGTAATTTATCGCAGCACATCGCCAGCAGCCCACACAGCTAACCCGGCTAACGCTCACCGAGCTGCGGACCAACATCCTGCCGCCGGCGGCCTCGGTCTCCGCTCTCCCCCGGGACGCCTCACATCCTGGCGTTACGACTTTCAGCCCCAGTCCTCGAAACTCGACATCCTCCTGAGGTTTCTCCGTCTTTTCCAGGGTGTCCCGCCGTGTGGAAGCAGCTCCGTGGTGTCTGCGCTGCTCGCATGTAAAGCGGGTCGCTGTAAAGTCCGGAGGAGTCGCTCCGCTTTCGCTTTTTACCAGAATTCCTCCGCTTTGACTGTAACTTTACCTTCTTTCTGTTTGGTTTAATCCCAGGCGTACTTCAGAGGGGCGGTGACGCTGTTTCGTCTCATAACTCTACCGAATAGGCGTACAGAAGCCACCCCGCTCGAATGTCCTCGTAATCAACCCAAACCCAACTGTTTCTGGACCAGCTCCTCCCTGATTGGTCATCGGCTGAGTTGAAATAAGATCTGATCCCAGATCAGTTTGAGTCAAACTATAGACCCCTGCTGGAGGGAAGCTGTCATTACACTGCGGAGGCCGTTCCATTGACAGTGACTTTTACAAACATGGAAAATATGTATTAAAAATACGTCATCTTTTATTTTTACTTTTTTTTTTTAATATCAAATCATGTTCATTAACGAAGCAAGAACATTAAAAAGAAATTAATAATAATGTCAGGGGAGAGAAACAGATACAGGAATACAATTAAAAGTATTAATATTTATTACTCCAGAATAAATCCTGCTGATTAAGTTCAGCTTTTTACTCCAGTAAAGGCCAGAAGCTTTACTGCTCTACCATATTAGAGGAACATTTTTCTACAATTCTGGATAATAACTTCCTTAGACTTTATTTTCTTAGTTTTATAACCAATGGTCACATTTAACTTTGCATTATCTTGAAAAACTATTTATTTTGGTTTGTGGTGAGCAACAAGTTGGGGCAGCACCGAGTCCAACCACAAAGAAACAAATTATCTGGATTAACTAATCATTTTGATGATTTTTTTTTTTCAATACCAACACGAGACTTTACCAACAAAAATTAGATTAAATGAAACAAAACTGAGGAGTCTGTTAGTGAAGAGTGATTAGGGCATAGAGCTTGGAGGCTGTGAGTTTGAAACCCGCCGCCACTCTGGCTCTCTGAGCAAGACCCTTAACCCCACACTGCTCCCCGGGCGCTGCACCATGGCAGCCCACTGCTCCCAAAGGGGATGGGTTAAATGCAGAGAGTTCATTTCTCCATTGTGAGATCAATAAAGTTTTATTTATTTTTAAAATGTAAGGAGTAGAAAGTAGAGATAATTGCAAAGAAATTTAAGAATTAGAACTAAAAAGTTGTCTAAAAAATAATTACTGCAGTAAAGTATAGATATCCAACATTTCTATGTAAGTAAAGTAATGAAGTATTTGGACTTTGGTACAAGCATTAAATAAAAACATTTAATGGCGATTGTTGTGAATAACTATTATGTACAAAGAGTAAAGGAAGCATGGTTGAAAACCATATTATAGTTTGAGATGGATTCTGTGTTTGGAAACCAAAGTTTATCTGGAAGATTTTGGAATCTAATCAAATTAGCTTTTAATTAATTTAGAGAAACTGGAATGTTTTCAGACCAATTCACAATGCAGGAGGTGAATAAAACATTATTTGGCCAAATAATGTTTTATGGAATGCAGATTTAGTGTTTCATATATTCGGTGAAAATAGACGAAGTGGAAAAACAGGAGAAGGAAAAAAAACAGGGCAGGCAAACGTTATTTGGGTAAAAAAAAAAACAGTTAGAAAAGTTAGAGGCAGAAATAAATCATTGTTCCAAAAATAGAAGGATGTTAAAATAAAATGAAGGTAAATATTTATGGTAGATTAAAAACATGCTTTAAAAATGTTGTGGTGTAAGT